GACTTTTTTATCCTTTCGGTATGTATTTTTGTTATGGTTTTCTCTTGATAGCACGCTCAATGGCAAGCCTTGGGGTTTTGGTTAGTTAAAACCCAACAGACATGCTGGGGACCCCAAAGCTTTGGTTCTCGTCAACCTGAGCCTAATTACTTTCTATTGTGTGTAAATGCTCTATCCAGGGAAAGAGTACATGTTCTATTGCAGACACAGGGAAATTTCTATGTATAGACAGCATTCATATGTGCAACTCTATCTGATTTGGATACACTTATGGTTGGTGATGGGTTTCTGCGTGAGTTGGCTGACCAAAGAAAAATGGTATTCCATTATCAGCGGAATTGCAACATGCCAATATAAGTGTTCCCTTCAGTCAGGTTTCCGTGCTGCCCATAGCACAGAAACTGCCCTGGTCAAGGTCACCAATGATATCCTGACCATCTGTGACCAGGGCTCCCTCTGCCTCCTCGTCCTCCTCGACCTATCGGCAGCATTCGATACGGTCGACCACGCTATCCTACTCCACCGCTTGTCCTCCCACCTCAACCTTCAAGGCACTGTCCTTGAGTGGTTTAGGTCGTACCTTTCTCACCGTCTTCACTTTGTCTCGACGAATGGCTTCTCCTCCACCCCCCATACTGTCTCATGTGGAGTCCCTCAGGGCTCTGTCCTCGGTCCCCTCCTCTTCACCCTCTATATGCTCCCCCTCGGTGACATCATCCGCAGACATGGAGTTAACTTCCACATGTATGCGGATGACACCCAACTCTACCTTTCCTCCTCTACTCTCAACTCCACGACCACCGATGTCCTGACAGCTGCCTGTCCGACATCGAGTCCTGGACGAGAGACAACTTTCTTCAGCTCAACGTGCGAAAAACCGAGGCCCTCCTGATTGGTTCGCGTCAGCGCCTCCGCACCTCAGGCGCCGACACCATCAGCATCCAAGGCTGCACTCTCCACCTCTCAAAGCCAGTCAGGAACCTCGGCGTTTTGTTCGACCCTGAGCTGTCCTTTCTCTCTCACATCCGCACCACAACTGGCACCGCCTTCCATCACCTCCGGAACATCGCCAGACTACGGCACTACCTCACCCCTCACGCTGCTGAAACCCTGGTTCACGCCTTTGTCACCTCAAGGCTGGACTATGGGAACTCTCTCCTCGCCGGCCTTCCCGCCACCTCCCTCCACAAGCTGCAGGTCATTCAGAACTCTGCAGCTCGTGTACTGTCCCGCACCAGGCTTCGGGACCACATCACTCCCACCCTCGCTCGCCTCCACTGGCTCCCCATCCCCCAGAGGATTGATTTCAAGATCCTCATCCTCACCTACAAGGCCATTCACGGCCTTGCTCCCTCCTACCTCTCCAACCTACTATCCCCCTACCTACCTGCCCGTACCCTCCGTTCCTCCGGCTCCGGTCTGCTCCACGTCCCCCGCCCCAACCGCCCTACCATCGGTGGTCGGGCCTTCAGCCTCTCAGCCCCGAGGCTCTGGAACTCCATCCCCCAGTGCCTTCGCCGCCTCCTCCCTCTCCTCCTTCAAGGCCGGTCTCAAAACCTTTCTCTTTGACCGAGCCTTCAGCTCCCCTCTCGACTCTCTTCCCCTCCTCGCTCCCTCCCTTCCCTCCCCTCACCCTGACCATTTCCCCCCTCCTCGTTCCCTCCCTTCCCTCCCCTCACCCTGACCATTTCCCCCCTGCTCGGGTCATGACCCAACTGTGCAGCGCCTTGGGACGTCCTCCTGACGTGAAAGGCGCTTTATAAATGGAATCTTGTTGTTGTTGTTGTTGTTGTTGTTCCTCCTGCCAACAATGTTAAATAAGTATCAGACCTCCATTGCATTACCAAATGAATTTGATGGGTTTTGTTCTTCTTGCCCATGTGAAGCTCTGTGCCACTCTTGCTACTGAAGCTGGAGGTGGCAATCTCGACTGTAAAGACAGCTGGCATAACTAGGACCGAAAGGATATCTTATTTCCTCTTTCAGATGCTGATCGACTTGCTAGGATTTCAAACATTTCTGTTTTTTTATTTGTGGCAGTGTGATTCGTTTTGTTTCCCTGTTGCCAATTTTCTCTCCTCGGCGCTGCAAGTGCTGGAAGGCAAAGCGTATATATGCTGAGAAGGTCCCGGTGCCCAGTAAACCAATATACACCTGTCATTGTGAACAAGAGTAAGCTCGTGTGGCAGAGCGAGAGGTGAGCACACGAATAACTTACCGAAGAAAATAAATAAGGAAAGGACTCAGTGCATTAATTTATAATATTCTTAATTACAAGAATTGTTGTCAATTGCAGCATATTAAGCACCCTGATCTTTCTGTTTGCCCTGCTCATCCCACATGCTAATTTTTCCTTTATTCCCCAAATTGCTTCTAGTACTTCAATGATTGCCTCATCTAGCGGATCTGCAGCTTACTGCTGGAGGGCAATAATTTATGGAATGTATTCCAGAGATGAATAATTCATTTACTAAAGTAGAGCAAAGTATGCCACGCAATGAAATGAAGGATGAACGTCACTGTATTTATTTCCTTGTGTTATTTTTAATGCCTGTTCAAGCTCCTCTTTGCCATTGTTACTTCACTCCTGTTTACACAACTTGTTTACAGCCAGCTACTGTGATGCGATTTAAAATCTACTTCATTTTCCCTGGCAACCACTTATAATTAATTATAGGACGTCTCCCTGTCCTGCATAATGTCTGTGTTTGCCACCCTTGGGGCAGGTCTCATTATGATATGAACAATCCTTTGAGCTTTTGTAGGATATCCTGTTTAAATGTCGTCAGTAAATAACTTTAAAAGGTTAATTACTGTAACAAACTTTATGTACTGAATTTCCTTAATGTAAAATTATTTTAAATCTCCAACAAGCTAATTTGTAAAGAAATTATGGTTCCAATAGGTTATATAGATTTGCACATAATTGCACTGAATTCCCACAGTGCTGATAGATGTGCTTAACATCAGAGTTTAGGAAACTTTGGATAAATCTGTTCAAATCTGATCATCTTTTGATAAACCCAGTTTCCTTATTTGCTTGTACACAATGTACAAACCTGGGTACATCTACACGCACACAACACAGAATGCAGTGTTTGTTCAAAGTGCTTTAAATGAGATAAACAAGAATAATTTGCAAAAGAAAAGTTAGTTCAACCTACAAGGATTTTTAAAAATAAATAATAATCATCATGCTTGCATTTGATGTAAGGAAGACGTCTCAAAGCACCTCACTGGATATACTGTAAAGTACAATGACTTGACTATTGGTGAAACAAAGAGAATATATGTATAAAAAAACTAGTACAGGACAGTTCATCAACTAAAAGAATATAGGACGAAGATTGGATCCATTATTAAGGGTAGTAACTTGAGGTAAATTGATTTGAAATATAATGGAGCATTTCAATATGAAAGCTGTTGAAGCTGCGTAGTCGTCCCACAACCTACACACTTTGCAATCAGCATACGTTTTAACCTTAATGAAGTTTATGAAGGTTACACTGTTACAGACGCGGACTGGTGAAACATCAAATAACAGTCGAGTTGTTTACATGCATCCTGCATTTGCTGTGTAAACAAGAGTTTGCATTGATGGGTTGAATTCCGTAATTAAGTTATTTCCGCTGGTGGAGGAAGCGGAATAAAATGACAGTAATTAATTTGTGCAAAGAAATGCTCCTGCAACAGTCTAACCAAAGAGAACATGTTTTCTTTAAAAAAAAGACAAAACAAGTCGCATTTAAACAATACCCTTGGTGAAATATATCCCATTTAATTGCAGGGTTCAAACACTCATTTTGGTTCACTTCACTGGGTTTTCTGTTTTGCAGCTATTTGGAACTGTTTTACAACAATGCTTTTTTTGTGTGTGCAAACAGGTCATTTTGAAACTTTGAGCAATGGAAAACATAGGTCAGCCTGAGTGGTCTGTTATATCAGAAGCAATGTAGAGGCTTCAACCCTTCAGCTATGTCTTGTTCTGTCACTGCTGCTAAAACTCAGCTTTAGCCGACTTACATTATCTGCAACTGTTGTAGAAAAACAGGTAACAGTCAACATTGTGCAGCCGTCCGGTTCTATTGATACTGGGTCCTTTGCCCCCATCAATTGGCGGATCGCTCTCCGGGGGTAATAATCCCTCCCCAGAAATATATAATTTGGTCACTCAATCCACGACTGTTTGTGGGACGCGGCTGCGCGCAACGGGTTGTCCCTTTACGCCCACAAAGCACACGGCCAATTCACGTGACACTATTAACACCCGAAATACGGCGGATGCCGGAAACCTGAAACGAAAACAGTGGTCGCCCGGGGGAGGCGGGTCGGGGTGGGGTTGGGTGGGGTGGGGTAGGCGGGGTAGGCCCGGCGCGCTCCCCGCCCCGGGCGACCACCGTCCAGGGTTCCAGCGTACCCTGCCGAGCGCTTCGTGACGTCTCGACTTAACCCTAACGGTTAGGTTGGGATGGATGGTTGGGTTGGGATGGGGTTGGGATGGGTTGGGATGGGATGGGGATGGGTTGGGATGGGGATGGGGATGGGTTGGGGTTGGGATAGGTTGGGGATGGGGTTGGGGGTGGGGTTGGGATGGGGATGGGTTGGGGATGGGGTTGGGATGGGTTGGGGATGGGTTGGGGTTGGGATGGGTTGGGGATGGGTTGGGATGTGGATGGGGTTGGGGATGGGTGGGGTTGGGGTTGGGATGGGGATGGGTTGGGATGGGGATGGGTCGGGATGGGATGAATGGGTGCGCGTCACCGGTGCTGGGGGCGGCGCGTGTGCGCGTGCGCGGAGGGTGAGCGAGCGACAGAGAGCGCGCGGGAGCGAGCACGCAGGGTGACGTGCGGTGGGTGCGCGCCCGCCCGCGCTCTGCGTGTGTGTGTGTGTGTGTGTTTTTGCGCAGTCGCTGCGGGGCCCGAGGCCTACGTGATACCGGAGCGAGAGAGACAGAGAGAGGCGGACGGTGGACCCTGGACACCCCCCCGACACCGCTCCCGCCCCTCCTTCCCCGGGTCCGTCCACAGTCTCTCTCCCCCCCTCCACTCTCGACAGAGGCAGCCGAGCCGAGGTGAGTGGGTGAGTGGGTGGGTGCCGGCGGGTCGCTCCTGGTTACCGGGCCCTCCCCTCCCCTCCCGCACCCGGGGCCCGGGGGGGGGGCGGCGGCTGTTTATATCATTCACTTCCACCTGATGTGCTCCTGTCCGGGCCGCACAGTCGCCTCTTGTGTCCGTCCCGATCTTTCTTTTGTTTTTGTTTATTTTCCGACACACATTCATTCTCCTCCTCATTAGGTAACGGCGTTTGTTTATACCGTGTGTTCACTTTGGTCTGAATATAGACCAGGCTGTATTGATGCTGGTCACTATCATATAGACCAGGCTGTATTGATGCTGGTCACTATCATATAGACCAGGCTGTATTGATGCTGGTCACTATCATATAGACCAGGCTGTATTGATGCTGGTCACTATCATATAGACCAGGCTGTATTGATGCTGGTCACTATCATATAGACCAGGCTGTATTGATGCTGGTCACTATCATATAGACCAGGCTGTATTGATTATAATCACTATCATATAGACCAGGATTTATTGATGCTGGTCACTCTTATCATACAGAACACAATTTATTTATATCACGCATACACTCACTCTTATCAAACAGGAGAGGATTTATCCATGTCATACATAACATGATTTATTTGTAACATACATACATTGCCTATCGTAGGTAATAGGATTATATATCACACATACATTCATGATCACACATTATAGGATTTATTTTTGTTATATGTGGATTCACTCCATCCTACACGACAGGATGTAGCATACATAACAAGATTTACTTATAATACATACACTCAGTCTACCATATATAACAGAATTTATTAATATCCTATATATATTCACTCTATCATGCAAAATAAGATTTACTTGTGTTTTCCACAGATTCACTCTATTATACATAACAGGGTTTATAACATGTTTATTCATGTGGTACATTTCATGTATTTGCAGTGTGTAAGTGTGTTTACATATAGTTATATAATATTTATTTGATATATGTTTAAGCCATTTATATTACAGTAGATGCACAGTATTTTATTTATATGATATATCTTGTGTATTTACAAGTTCCATCTGCTTGTACGTTCATATGTGCACTTAATTTATGTGCATACATTGGTATTCATTTTATATATTACATTTATATTTTATTTATTCAATTAATGTTTTAAACCCTGTTAATAACCCAGCAGAGATTGGATATTAGAGCCAGGCGGCGTCAAATAGACCTTTTTTTAAAAAAAAGGAGCCACTTTGTTCTTTCTGCAGCAGCATCTTTGGCAGTGACTGGCAGTAGAGCCCTTTGTATCCGCTCTGACATGTTTATTGGAGTCATTGTGCAGGCTGCTTCCAACCCGGGCAGTCTGCAGAGGCATTAAATAAACCAGCCACTCCACAATGCAAAGGTAATGAAACACAAATCTATTTGTCTACGCTCTGTGGCCAACTATTTGTTTCTTTGTTTATTTGCTGTTGCCACAGTTGCATCGAAAATCTCAGTTTCAATGTAATATCTGGGAAGCTACAAAAGGCAGGCTGAGCTGCATCGAGGCGACTGATGTATTTATCCTACTGTAAGCATCATTCTGTGTGGAGATTTTTACCTCTGGTATATGTATTTAAATTGGTTTCTTTTGGTAATGTTAGTCAAGTTGTTCTTCGGATTTTTTTTGTTTCAGATGGTATGTTCAGATCACATCTCCGTGATTAATGTTCTTCCTTATTCTCTTTTGTTTTTAAATTCCCCCTTCCTTCCATCCTTCCGTGATTATATTACTGTATTTTGTTTACCGCAAAGACCCGTGCGTTAATCAGAATTGATTTAAACATGAAGAAGGGAGGGTGACAATTTTGGAACAGTCAGCACAGGTTTGAATGACCTCTATTCAACAGGATCAAAACCTGTATTCTGAGATCTGAAACAAAACCGAATAGAAATCGAGGGTGAATAGAGTTAATTTGCCAGGAAAAAAAAAGGTGATGGTTTTGGTCAAATGAGCATTGGGGATGAAAATCCCTCGATATCCATTGCTGCAAAAGCAACACTACCTTGTACATTCTAAACATTTCCGTCGTAGCACAGTTTATAAAGCGTGGAACAGATGGCTGAGCTCATTATAATTTCAAATTAACTCCCGATTGTTAAACCCGTATAAGACAATTTTCTTGATAGAGGTTGCTGCTCCTACAGTAATGGGGTGTTCCACAATTGAGCTGTTCTTATTTACTCCTGTCTTACCCATCTCCATTCCCTTTGTTTGTGGTGTTCTGATTGTGGCTTGCAATTGTAGAGATGGATAACACAGCGGAGAGAATTGCATTAGAATCCAATTGCTTTTGGTTGAGAGCGAAATTGGAAACAACAACAACAAAACTGTTATTAGCACTGGAAGATGGTGTTTCACAGCTATTTGAGTTTGTGACTTAAATGGAACAGGCTTTTATATTAATAGTTTAATTGTCACGTGTTTGAATTGAAAATGCACGTTAAATGAAAATGACCTTGAAATTTGAAAATTTTCATCTGAACCTTCAGTGTTTTTTCTTCCAAGGCTGTTGCAGTTTGGCAGTGGACTTTGGCTGCTGACTTTATTATTGCAATATGATGTTCAGATGAATTCATTGCAGGCACACCTTTGCCAAACTGCCAAATATTGTGTCGTAATGAAGTTGATTTCCCGCCCTATTTTAAAAACAAAAGTCCTTCAAATAACACCTGGCTCGGAGTTTTAATCAAACTTACAGCTCTGTCCTTTGGTGTGAGTTTTGTTTTGGATCCATGTACATTTCAACTGCATACCACTAGTCTGTCGCTCCAAGATTCGTGGAGGATATTTGCCCTTCTGTTGATAAACAAAGCTCACATTTGATGCTCCATGGAAGGAGTTTTGTAACTAATTAGGTTCTGCTTTTAGAGAATCAAGTTTAGATACATAAATGTGTTTTTAAAGGTTGCTGGAGTAAATCTTGCAGAAGGATTTTACCATGAATTACTACTTTTGATTTCTGGACCTTAAACAGTACAGGGAGTGAATGTGGTTCTGCTTTCAAACCCTTCTAAAACATTTCTCCCTTTGTCCGTGCTTTTGGTTCAAACCATCAAACTCCCCTTCCACTCTTCCTCGCTACTTGATCTGTCAAATTGCTGTGAAGTACTTCAAGATTCATTCTTGGTGGTGAGACGTGCTTTACAAGTGTACGTTGTTGATTGTTTACAATTGGAATTCCACCACAATGTGTCCATGCAATTAACCTGTGAGTGGGTATAAAATAAAAAAAAGTGCATTTAATTCTGAGCTCTGAACCACTTTCCTGACCAAGGTATCACTCGTCAATATTAACATTTTCAAAGTACTGTACTTTACATTTACATAGATCACTTAACACTGAGTAGGTGGGTTGCCAAGACCTTTAAAAGACAAGCGACAAAAGCATGGGAAATATAATACTTGAACTGGAGCCGTAGGAAGGAGAGAGGAGAGTTGTAGTTTCAGCTCTTGGGTTTATTTCTAAATTGATATTGAAGGTATATTGGACCTATATTTTTTTTGAACAATTGGAAATAATAGACGTGATGAAATTGGGTACACAGGTTATGTATTTCTGTTGAATTTTGATATTAGGGTAAAGATTTAGGATTTACTTAAGTCTTATTGCAGTGAGTGATTTTCTTTGGGAGAATGTCCACAAAAGGATCAGATTTTAGCCTCCGATTTGTTGAAGGCTGTATTAACTATGTTTGTGAATATAAGGTTTAAATGCATATCATAAACATTGAAACTGCTCAAAATGTAGATTTCCAAAGTGCATAAGTACTCTGAATAGCTTTTAATTCTGCACAGATATAGGTGTTTACAGCATATAAGTTTACCACTACATCCTTCTTATAGTGAATGAGCAAGGACATTGTGGGTGAACCCAACGATTTCTCTAGAACTTGACTAGCAAATAAAGCTTAGTTTATATAGGTTCATTTTATAGCTGTTTGGATGGTTGTTCTGAAAAATGTTGTCCTCAAAAACACAAAACTTGCATTTTTATAGCTGTTTCACATATTGGAACATCTATGGCTCCTGAAGTCTTGTAATTGTAGGGAAACCCAGTAGCTACCTGCACCACCAAGGTACCACAAATGTCCTGCAGGTGCAAAAGGGTGTCTGTTACTACTATATTGCTCCTTATCTTTTATTTTGTTCTTGCGAGCTTTCATCTTCAGTTAGAAACTCTGTTCACTTTCTCTGACAGTTCAATTGCCTGGGTGACCCTGAGCCTTGTAAACAGGTTTGTGTTCCTGATTTGTGTTGAGTTAAATTGACCTCAACTGGAGCCCTAGTGCAACACAATTACCCTCGCTCAGTGTTCTGGGCAGGGAACAGCACTTTCATACACTGTCACATCTGTTTATCAGTAGTAATTTAACTGTATATTGCTTTATTATAATATAATAATGATGATCTTTGCATTTGATATAGTGCCTTATCAGTATTATCAAGTCTCCAAGATGTCTCAAAGCGCTTCACAGAATATACTATAAAGTTAATTGACTATATATTTTGTGGGTGAAACATGGCAGCCAATTGCACACAGCAGTGTCCCACAAACAGTTGTGAATTGAGTGACCAAATTATTACAACAACAAAATTACATTTGTACAGCGCCTTTCACATCGGGAGGATGTCTTATTTTTTTGAAGGGATTATTACCCATGCAAAAGCAATCTGCCAAACGACTAACAATTGGGTTTCTACTTACTGCTGGGTAAACGGAGGAGTGGGGAGTAAGGAAACTTGCCTAACGTTTCGCCCTGACCTGAATCGAACCCGGGTCCCACTCGCTTGCGAGGCGAGTGCTCTAACCATTAAGCTACAGGACTCAATGAGTTCATTGTTCATTTTTTCCATCAACCCATATTTTTCAGCAGGGCAATATCTCAGTTTTTCATTGTATTTCTTTCTCCCTTCAGTCCCTTTTCTCTGTTTCCTTCCCTCCCTATTAT